ACAACCGCCGCAGCCCGGGATTGATCGCTGATAGAGCACACGTGCATGTCTCTTCGACGCTCCTCGCCGCTCGCAATTCTCGCAGCGCCATCGACCTTCAACAATGGTTGTACTCCAGATATATCGACTTACAGAATGGTGTATGGCGTGCGTCGGGGCAAGAGCTTCCGGTGGCAGATATGACAAGACTGGAACGCTGGATAAGCAGGAGAAGTGCGGCGAATGCGCAAAGGCGAAGCAACCTGGTACGTTTTCCCCGTTCTTTATCTAGCTGGGTTCAAGACATTTAAAGAAGCATTTGCAATAGCGCGCGCTGAATGCTGTGGATGCGGCGTCAATAAGTGTAAACCTCCCGATCGGGCGTGGGCGAACGTGAAAGCAGCGAGCCTACGGGAAATGGGCCCGCGTTATGTCCAAGATACTCTAGATGATGTTTTGAGTGGCTGGGATATCGAAAGGTGTGTCTGAATCGCAGAGCAGTAGGTTTGTTGTGATGACACGGAGATAGATCTCTTAACGCGGCACTCGACGGCCAGAGAGGCGGAGGAGAACACAGCGTGCGTGGCCTGCTCTACGCCGAGCACGCTTTGTTCTCCGAAGGAGACTCGGAGTGCGCACAGAAGCTCGCACGATGGAATGCGTGTATTTCCGAATGGGAGGGGTGTATATCTACCACTGGCATTGCTGATACCTTAAACATGTGATCGCCTACATTGCAGACGCCCGCCATATGAAACCCATAGATTCAGCCATCTTTTCCGATGAGTAAGTCGGCAAAGGCCGATACCTCAGCTCTCTTCGTCCTGTAGCCTGCCGAGGAGTACATGAGATCGCGTGGCTCCATCTCAGTCGAGATGCTGATAGTTGAACTGAAGCTTGCCATTCTTGACTCCTCTGCCGCGAGCGACGTCTGATGTGCCGCCCAAGGCCGCATACCTTAACCCACATCCTGCCTTGCTCGTCCACTATTCTTTCTTGGCCAGTTGTAAAGCCTCGTGGAATTTTGAATGAATAGGTCAGGAACAGGAGCCTTTTCGACAGTCTAAAGCCCAAAGCCAAAGGTATCGGGAACGTCGATAGCAATACCGCTAGCACACAGAGGAACCCTTGCGCTATCAGGAAACGATGACCCTGAGAACACTCGAGAGAGCAGGCAGAACGAGATCACAAAGGAAACTATGTATGATCATTATTTCATTACAAAGAGACGAGCGAACATAATGAGACGAAGCGCAATAGTAAGGTGAGTGATGGTGAGTACTTGAGTCTGTCTCCCTCTACGCTCATCACAAACCGGTCGAGCTTCCACACGACGCCGTGAGATTTCGGTCGAGTCCTGAACTTTACAGCGGCAAGTCAACTATAGGCAAGATGACGGGGTCGCCCGTCAGGTGGACTCCACCCCGTGCGGCCCATTCGGTCCATGTTGTCGGTGTGTGTTCCCTGATCGAGCGTCGTTCGCGCGGTCGTCGTCCCCGATGCAGCTCGTGCCACCACTGCCCGTCGCCTATGGCGCGGTCGCGCATCCCCCCTGTTTCTCCCTGTAGAGCGGTTAAACGAGTCTGAAACCAGTTTTCGTGCGCGGGCGACCAAATCGCGTTGCCAAATAAGCTGTCCCATACGTCCTGATGCGGCCACAAGCTGAAAGTTCCGCTTCTGCCTGACAGGACATCATACGCCTCGCCGGGAGCCTCATCCCAGACGTAGTGCTGAGGCCAATCCAGTTCCTCGCCATATCTTCGCGCCCTCACCGATGGACCAAGCGCGACTTGATCCGCGTACACTTGTCCGCCGACCCAGAGCGCAAGGCGCCAGCCAATACCGCCTCCGAGAACAAATGCGCGAGCCCATGGCTTCTCCTGTAGCATAGCAGCAACACGGCCATGCCATTCCTCGAAGGTTGGAACCATGGACTGGAACTGCATCGGTAATTCGAGATGAAGAGACGCGGGCGTGGCTACGTGTGCCCAGCCGAACGGTGTGCCGTGCCGCAACATCCAGACGACGAACTGTCGCACTGTCGTGCCCGGGATAGTGACCTGTACGTAGCGCCTCATCAAGAGGGCTGGCACGCCGAGACGGATGTAGGCGTTGTTGCCCGCGACTTCGTTTGGACGTACAATGTCAACTGGGAGATCCTCGCCCGCTGTGCCGCCCCCAATCAGCGCCCGGATGCCCTCGACGAATGAGATATCCGGAAGATCGTCCACCCCAGGCTGCCGCGGTTGCCAGTACAAGCGGGGAACGGCTTGCACTGACGAATGCGACAATGCCCGCCTCACTGGGCTTTCCGGGACGTATGGGAGGAGCGTCGTATGTACCCGTCTAGGACCCATCGGCTCAACATTGATCGCCGCCGGTCCCCCAGCCCAGCGAGAGTGCGGTGTTGCGGTTGTAGTGACGATCTCGGCATGTGAGATGCGATTGACCTGAGCGCGCAGTGGATCGTATCGTTGGACGCTCGACGTGCTTGAGCGCTGGCCTTGCGATCCTCTCGTCGATGGCCCTGTGCGTACGCCCCATGTGCTCGAAGACTGGGGAGGTGCGGGTAGGTGAGGAGAGCGTAAGTCCGTGGGAAATGAACGCCACGTTGACAGGATCCGCCTTTCTGGTGACAGTCCCGCTTGACCTCTCTGGAGTGACTGCGGATGACCCGGTATACTCCCAGCGTTATCCGCTGTGCCCGTCCCCGATACGCCTGAGTGGCGATTGTGATGAGGATTCATCGCCCGAGGCGCCGTACGCATGCTCCGCGGTTCCCGTGGTGGTGACCACGGCGCTAGAGCAACTGTAGCCCGCGACGCAGATAGCTGCGGCTCTCGAGGCGGCGCTCCCATTTCAATGTCCTGCTCCACCGATAGGGGTCCGCTAGTGGACTGCGCTAGCCTCGAAGGACCTGCCACTGACGCGTCTGTGCGGACCGACTCTTCCCATCTGCTTCTCTGCTCCTCCCGTGCGGTCTGAAGAGACAAGTCCGCGATACGCTCATTCTCCTGTAATTCCCTCATATGTACGTCTTCCCCCTGATGCAGCCCGTTCTCTTCAATGTTCATAACATCCTGGGACCCTAGGGGAGAGATGGCCCGAATCGACGGAGGCGCTGAGGCCGGCGGGGCGGGCGAAGACCCATTTGCGCGTGCCTTGCCCTTGCGCGCTTCCCACCTCCTCACATCTTCCCTTGCGGTCTGAAGAGACAGTTCCGCGATACGTGCGTTCTCCTGCAGTTCTCTTCTATGCACATCTTCCTCTTGACGCAGCCGAGCCTCCTCATCATTGAGCGTGTCCTGGGCGCCCATAGGAAATGCTGCCCGAAGCAACGAAGACACCGCAGCAGGTGCGACAGGTGAAGGGTCTCGCTCACGTGCCTTGCCCTTCCCAGACGTCGCTACGGACTCCCGATCTTCAGAACGGGGACCCGGATGAGCGGAGGTTGCAGGAGGAGGAATGCGAATAATGGTCGACGGCCTCTTGCGCCATCCCGAGAATCGTGACGGAAAGTCGCCCGTGAGCGGCTGAAGATCAGCCTCGAAATTATAACGAGGACCCGCGAAGTTTGATGACCCCTGCAAGTGGTCCCATGCAGGTGGTTCGGCCTCCTGCGGAGGTTCGAACAGAATGGCGGCTGGTCCGCCTCCCATGTCTAGGCCGAGCTCGCCGAGCTCGTCCTCGTCCGCCTCAAAAGCCTCGTCCGCACGTCTCTTCTTTGCTTTCGAGCGCTTCCGCACATAGTCCGCTACCTCTTGTCGCGACACCGTGGTGCCATCGGGATGGAGCCAACCTAAGAACGTCGTGTTACCCCGTTCTGGCCAGTCGGTAATATGCCGAAAGCGCGTGATCCAGTCGTCCTCGATGGCCTGTACGATCGCTGGCGGGCCATCCACCCGTTCCCAGCCTTCTAAGATCCAGCGCCCGGGTAATGCGCCTTCGCGAAAGACCGCATCGAACTCGTTCCGAGTCTGAGGCCTCAGAAGAATGAGCTGACCCAGTTCCGCATACGGGGCCCGCTCGCGAGCACGCTGTTTCTCATGTTCCGCGGCGCGGCGCCTTGCCTGGATAGCCGCTCGCCTGTCGTTATCCGCGGCACAGTGACGTTGGCGTAACACGTCCAAGTAGAACGGCGCCGGGGAACGGTTGTGGTGCGGTGAAGTATCAGGGTTGAAGGCCCACACATGCCGAGGGATGATGTGTGCGTGCAAGCCCACGTCGTATGGCCAGAACCATCGGTAGTCCACTCCGCGACTCGCGAGCCAACGCAACGGAGGCAGCGCGTGCTCTGGAACAGAGGCGTCGAAGGAAAAGCCGACAAAAGGCATCTCAGAAGCCCCCCAGTATGCCAGAGTTGATGCGAATGATGCCTCCGGGCGCACTGGGTTCATCCATCCCATCGGAGCGAGACGGTGAGCCTGACCTGGCAGGAATTCCGCTGCCATGCGTACAAAGCTGAGCATTGACACCATCTCAGTGCGCCAATCGTCAATGTCGTTCAAAAGTTGCACGGCCCCACGCTCGTGAAGCAAGTCCTCGCCGCGTGTGACTGGCAGCGGCGCCGGCGCTCGGAGACCAAAGGGCTGCAATAGCATTTCGGCTCCTGTGACGAGGGCCAGGATCTCCCTCGCTGACACGAATATGGCCGCTAATGCTCCTGGGAGTAGGACTGCACGATCCGTGGTGCCGACAATGCGATGCCGGTCGCCGTCAAAATCGAAGACGATCGTCCTAGCAAGGTCGCCCACTGCTTCGTACGTAAGGGCGCGCCACGGAGCGCTGGGCCAGTACACTGCTTGGCGAGGAAAGCGCGGATGATAGTGTTCGCCAAAGTACTGACGAACATTCATCCCGGGCGGTGGCTGCGCAGGCGCGGTGAAGCGGAATGTGACGCTCGGAGGGGCATGATACGGTCGCGGATCGATGGATTGCCAAGGCGCCACTACGCGTCCTCCGTTGGGAAGCCAGTCTTGTGTCATACCTGGCATAAGAGGAACATCCCTCAGTACCGGCGTGGGCGGCTGGTTTACTTGACTCCAGGCGATCGCTCGAGTATCTCCTTGCACTCGGCGCCCCAGTGTATAGGCCAAGTCTCGGGTTGCCGTGTCCATCGCCATCACTAAGCTCGGGATAGGCTCTCCATCCTCCAGTCCATATATAGCTGGGATCCAGTCGCCCAGCTCTCCCAAGGAGAAACTCTCCGGGAGGCGAGACTGGTCCTCACGCGAGCAGTGGGCGTCGGGGTGGTTCGACTTGTTGTTGGACATTATCTGAGATATAAGTATGTGTTAGAGCTTTACCCGTCGAAGCCAAAAGAGCGTCATACGCGAGCTTCGTGTTTACGACGCTGAAGAATGCGGTAGAGCGAGGATGCGGGGAGGTCGTGGTTATTGAGAACGATCATTGCAACGCGGTCGCTTGCTTTGGGCGCTCAAACGCGATCACGTGGGATATCCCACTGCCGGGTATAGCCCGCGTCCACTTCTGCAGTTTTCGATGTTTGAAACTTCCCGCCACAGCTCCAGCAACCGCCTCAGGATCGGGCCGTTCCGTCGTTGTCGATCCCGACCAATCCTACTCGTCCGTATCGACGCCACATCCTTTTTCGCCGTTCCTTACACGTATCAGTGTGTCGAACAAAGGTAAGCTTGGCCACGAACCGTTTGGGCCGAAGCAGCGTACGCCACGGGTGTCCCTGCGGGTGCTGTTGACTATACCTGCTACTCGTGCGACCTATAGAGCTGCACTTGTGAAGAAGGTCCCCGTTTCCCGCGAGTACCGCGGGTTTGCGCCAATAGTCATATGTCTGCATACAGACGGGGTAGATTGCCTCTCCTGCTGTATCACGGACAGGCCCACGGTGCGAGTAACGCACGTAGGCCTTTAGGCAGCGAATGAGCCAACGCTGGCCATTGCGCAACGTACCCGTCGATCACCCGTACGCAACAACGGGCCACCTTCAATCCACTCGTCACCAATGGAGACGTCGTAGCCGCCCGCGTACTCATGCGAGACAGTCAGCCCCGTCGTGTACACTAGCCGCCATGTGTCCATGTGGCTTGATGAGAGTGCCCTGAAGCACTTCAAACTTCAAGAAGTGCCATCAGCTGACGAGTCCTCCAAAGGGTCGCCGTCTGCGCAGGGTTTCTAGCCATACTCCACTGCTCCATCTCACTCAGGTTCTTGAATGATGCATTGCAATCTTCGAGACTCGCAGAGAGTAGGCGCAGAAGGTATGCCAGGTCGGCGGAGCAAAACCCATGAAGACTTTGTTGTCGTTCTCGGCGCTATATGATGGTACGTATTGCATACTTTGAGACTGTAAACGTTCATATCGCTAGCTTGTGTAGGGACACGCACCTCAATGAAGTGTTTTAGCACATCACCTGCGATAGCGCTTCAAGTGCGTTGCCATTAACAGCGTATACATAGCATGTCGAAGTGCAACATGTGCTATGACTAATGTGGCTGATAGTGGCTGATATGAGTGTATGCGTATACTGATGAGCAGGCCTGTATCCTAAGCTTTCTTTCGTTTGATACTATATGCTGAACTGAGACCGTTCCGGTAAGCGATGATTCGTAGTACATGAGCGACCCCACTCACGCTATGCGTAACCTTGGACCTCTCGTTGCCTCGCAAAAACTCCCCAAGCTTTACATCCGCCGATAAAAAAGTCTCATCCTTGGGTCTACCTCTAGCAATGGGGATCCTTCGAAGTCACTCTCCGCCATCGTTGGAGAGTCTGTGACAGGCCCTGCGAAGTGATCTAGAGCCGCTTTGCCCAGAAAACGGAAAAGGCGACCGCCATACGCCGTCAGCAGCTGATTCATGATGAGGGGCAAGATCGCGGTACCCGGAAGAATTGAGCTGATTTGTCACGTCTCATATTCATGTCGTACACATCTCCCTCAATTGTTGACTTACATCCACGCGCTTGGGCCCCAGATGGCGCCTGCCGTGGGCACGGATCTGCGGGCGACCGTCTGAGTCATGATGCAGGCTGTCGGACATCTGTCAGGTCCCCCCTTCGCGTATAGATTAAGCGTACTGTTCGTACTTATGTACGTACTGAAGGAACTAAGTGGCACTGCACCCCAGCTCCCCCAGATCATCTTATCTTGCTATTTGGGGTACGTAGCATTAACTTCACAGTCCAAGCCCGCTCCGCGCATCCTCTTTCTTGATTTTGACTCCTTGTTCGGATCTCTATCAACACCGAGTACCTCGAATCGGGGGACGTGCATACCGCAGAAATGTCATTCATAGAGCTGTAGCGATGCTGAGCGTCGGGATGCGGATCAGTTGCGAGGGGTTTGTGTACATGTTCCTAGACAGGATCGTCATATCAGGCCCGGTGTGTACCGTCATCGTCCGACATTTGTTCACAAGCATCCACTACATGCCGACACGGACGAGCGTTCGTCACTGTAGCAGAGACGAATGACAGGATTGATGCCGGTGGGTGCGAGTTGACGAACCGCAGCTCCGAGTTCCTGAAAGAGCGCTCGCTTTGATAGATCCGAGATCGCGTACTGGAAGTTCAAACTTCAGAGTAAAAGGCTATGATAAAGACGCGGCGTAAGGCATTCGGGTGATAAAGCTCAGATAGGTTGACAGTATTGTACGTCGCAGATCGAGACGACGAGGTCATGATGGTCGAAGCCAAGAATGGCGAGATGGATCGTTCCGTTCACGGCTCACTCGCGCCCGCGCGTAGTCCCGAACCAGGACGCGTCTCGCGCTGCTTCTTTCCCAACCTCATGTTGCAACCTCTTCATCGGCCTGTTCTCGAACAATGTCGTCTGTTTTACAGCAGGATGGCGGCCCTTTGTGAGTCTCGCTCTTGTATACTTACGCCTCACAGACTGCTGACCGACACGAATAGAATCCCTATAGCAGCTGGTGTTGCACGGGTGAAGTCCCTAGAGCGCGACCTTTAATCCACGGCGCGTGCCAGGGACGATACGGTGCTCATACCAGGTGTCCGCTTTTGTTGGGCATCGGGGCAAGCCACTCGTCAGCCGGCTTCCACTCCGCGGCCCATCTCGATGTCACGCCAACGCAGCATTCGGCAGGCAAGTCCTGGTGTCTTCGCGTGCGGTCGACGATATTCTTACACGCTTCGCTCAATGAACGCATGTTATAGCGTTCTACGTACCAGTCGTTGTCCGCGCGCGCTTTATTGGCATACCCGTCACTCACTACTCAATCGATCGCGGTATTCCAGTACCCGATTGGGAGCGAGCATTTGACGGGCCCGCGGAGACGGCCGTTTTCGAAGTGCGCTGTATCCGCCTTTGCGCATACTACCCTCGGGAAAGAGCACAGTACTCTTTGCGATGAGCTGCTGTGGCCGTCCGGAGGCGGGGACCGATGCTCGTCTTGCAGTTTGCGCTGGCTCGAGAACATTGCAGCGTGCGACAACACACATGATGTCTCAACGATCCCAACCGTCGTCATAGCCCCTGTTCGCCCTCCTTCCTCGTTCGCGTCTAGCCATGTCGCGCCCGAATACCCGCCCAAGCCCGCGCATCCAGTCTACGCGCAGGCCGTCCTTGAGTCTGCCACTCTCTGTTCCTCAGCGCTCGACCCCGATGTCCGGCCCGAACCGGCCGAAGACTACAACTACCACTCGCACTTCAAAGCTACTCAGAAGCTCGTCGAGCTTCCTTCGGACCCTCAGACTAAACCTTTACTCTCTGAGGAAGAAGATGTACTGGGATATGCGACCGACGCTGGAATCCGCATGCGCGAGCGGAAGAGTGCGGCTGAGCGGATGAGTAAAGCCGAGAGACGCGAGGAGGGTTTCCGTAGGATCACGGCGTATGGCGTTGCGGAAGGCGTCAGAATCAAGCTCGCCAGTAGCTTTTTAAAGCGAGAACATAACGTTCATCCAAGAGTCTACGACAATGCTCTCTACGCCGTACGTGCGCCCCACTGATCAAACACAATCCATACTCACGAGACAATGTAGATGTACAACCTGCCGCTCCTCCCCGGCTACGGTCCAGCCTCGAACATCCGCTCCTCAACCCACGCAACAGAAGCCGAGCACACCGCAGCCCAGACACACATGTCCGAAGCAGAAGAGTCCGGCTACCAGGGCACATACTTCGCCCGCGCCGATCCCGAATCGTGCGCGTTCAACGTCGAGGACGGATATATTGCCGCCAGGAGCCCCGAGGATTTGAGGAATAAAGCGAGGGCGGAGGAGGAGGCGCGCGAACATACTGATGAGGGGCTGGGAACGGATACTGAGCCGCTTTTGGTGTCTGAGGCAGAGGCGGAGGAGGTGCCGGCGGTGTTGGCGTAGGGAGACGTCGACACCGTCGTAGAAGTGATCCCGCCCGCAATGGAAACCGCGCTCCTCGCCGCAGCCGAAGAAGCGCACGGCTCGCCCTCAGTATCCTCCGCCGCGCTCGTCGACACATCATCTACAGCCGAAGTGGTCTTCTTCGACTACGGCGTCTTGGTCTTTTTTGGATTGCAAGAGGAGGACGAGCGGAGCATTCTGGACGATATTGCGAATGCGGGCGCGCTGAGGCAGCCGTGGGCGGAGGAGAAGTGGGAGGTCGAGGAGCTGCATTATACGTATGATCGGGCCGTGCCGAGTCCGAGGATATACAACGACTTTTTCACGTTCAAGAACCCTTCGCATCTGCCCACGCTCGCACATGCTCTCGCACAGTCGACACTATTGGCGTACTATGAGTCCCTCACGGCGGCAATACTATCAGATCCAGCCACAAACTTCATCCCCCGCACCCTAGCGCTCGAAGGCAAACTCTCCATCTCCCGCACAAACGCCATGCGCCTCACCGGCCGCCTCTTCCGCCTCCGCCGCAACGTCGTCCTCATCGGCAACGTGCTCGACGTGCCCGACATGTTCTGGGAAGAGGCGAGCCTGCGTGGCTTGTATGATGCCGTGCGGGAGTATTTCGAAATCGGGGAGCGCGTGAGGGGCGTGGAGGAGAGGGTTGCGGGCGCGAGGGATTTGCTGGATGCTATTGATGAGCATCTGAATGGGAGTGCTATGGAGAGGATTACTATCATTATCATCTGGTAAGTCGAGTTCTCGTTACGGACCATCTCGAATAGGAGGCTGATGCGGGTGCGGTGTAGGCTCATCGTCGCGGCATGTCTCGTCGAAGTAGGAGAAGTCGTTGCACGGCTCATCGCTCACGCAACAACAGCCAACTCTCCCATCCCACACTCGACCTTCGTCCGCGGTCCTCTCGGCCTGATGCGATACGCGGTCTCAAGTACTCCCTCTTCGACTCCCAATGCGGATACGCTAGTGCAAAATGTGGTGCCGAGCGCGGTGACAAATGCGTCCAGCGTCGCGGTGGGATACGCGGACAGGTTCCTGGATTTTAGTGAGATGAGTAGGGAGGAGGCGTTGTATGCTGTTGAGATTATGATGCGGGCTGCTGAGAAGTAGAGTTGTGGCCGGATGGTTTACGCATACCTGTGGATCTTCACGATAATACGACCCGCTGCAAGTGGCGTCTTCGCTACTCGGCCCGAACATGTTCGAACGCACAACCTTGACCTCGGCCTCTAGGCTGTACGATGGTCAGCTATGAGTGACGCGCTCAGATGTATAGGCTTCCCGCCTCCCTTGATCTGGCTGACGCTGTCGCTATTCGGCCCCCACCTGACACCGCCTTGAAAGTGCCTGGCCGTGTACCCGTTCGAACGTGTGCGAACCATTACGCTCGCGACGGGGCGTACTGGTGGTCTCTTCTGCCCTGTACTTGTCACGTCCCTTCAGATACGTCCGCCTCATCATCGGCAAACGAAGTGGCTCTTGATAGCCGGTCTCGACCCATCACCGGCAAGTCAGAAGGTCGGACGATCGCACAGGGTATCCGGTGGTCCTATACTACTTCTGTTTCATGGCACTTGGGCTACTAGTCCGAGTCCCCTATTCTCGGCTTGCTTTGTGAGCTGTCAGTCCAGGGTGTTCCGCCTAAAATGCGAACACTCACTCAGGCCATGAGTTTTCAATGGCTCGGGCTATCTATAGGTGAGCCAGATTCCAGAAGGGGTACATATACTTGCCATCGTAGACGGTTGGGCTTCAGCAGCATTGTTTGCTTTCTCTCACTCCTCGTTGACTATCTCTCAACATGTTCCCCACCTCCTTCGTCTCTGCAGTCTTCATCGCGCTCGCCGCCATCACGAGTGTGCGTGCCGAGACGCACACAATCTCGTTCGTCAACAACTGCGGCTTTGGAACCGTTCGTCGTACATCTTCTATGACCTTATGCGTAGCTTAAGAGTCTCTCCAGCCTACCCTCGTCAGCCAGAGCGGCGTGATCCTATCGACGGGCGCACCTTACACCGCCAACGGAGAGATCGTGGGCGCTATTGCCTACCTGCAGACCGGTGCTTGCGGTCTAAACGGTACTGTCTCAGTAAGCTTTAAAGGCATTGCTATCTCATTGATACCACCCTGACCTGTCGTGTCGACAGCCGTGGAGACGACCTTGATCAATGGCGCTTCAAGCACGGATCTCACTCTGATCCCGGACCATGCGTTCAGCGTAACCACGGGTGAGTATAATGTACGGCGCCATTGTGAAGACATGGGATGTGCTTAGTGGTACACGTCTATGCTTTGGCTACTACGACGGCTGCGACGGGTCTGGCGCGGACTGCACTAGCGCCAGCTGTACTGATGTGTTTCATGATCCGAGCCAGACGTACGTTCAAGTTCCGTGCTCGGCTGGTGACGTGTGTCTAAGGTGCTCTCTTAGTGGAAGCTTGAGTGCTGATGACTGGCGTAGGAGAATCTTGCGATCACCTCCTGCGATTGATCTGCGATTGAGGTGACTCTGGCTGCGATAGTCGGGCCATCGATGTTAGGGGCGCCCTGGAGGGAGATCATAAATCGGTTTTGAGAGAGAGATGTTAAGGCGCATTAGGCTACCTGAAATTATTTATTGCGTGCTCCCTGTATCACTCGTACACTATTCGCCAGGGTCTTTCCCCATCAATTCTCTTGCCCGTCTGCGAAGTCACGTTACCGTGTTTTGATGGCCGGCGCAACGACGTCCGGCGCGGGGGAATGTGCGAGTTGTCTCGTCCTCCCATGCACGGTCGACGGTCGTATCTCCGTTTCTGAAGCTGCTTCTGCACGCATGAGAGTGTGGTCAATGAACGAGGGACGTAAACAAGACAGTGCTCGTGACACCGCCGATCCCCAGACCCAGCGACGCTGCGATCCCGGCGTCCACGTACGACGCACGTTCTCCCAGCTGTCAAAGTATCTATCATCAGCGGCTAGTCCCGCCCTTCGCACGCGCCATGCAGCTCTATCGATATGTGCCCAGCTCCCGTCACCACTATATCACTCCAGAACGTGCGGCAGACCGCGTCGTCTTCGCCCTTCAACCAGCCTCTTGATGCCCATCGATGCCCTCGTCTCTGAGGGGACCCAGCAGGGTGCGGGTAGTGTCAGAGGATACAGCGTGACAGCGGCGCTGTGGATCAGGCTCAGCATCGAGCGCGTGCACCTCCGCCCGCGATCTCCACGATTTGACAGCAGCGCCAACAGCCTAATTCGCCGACTCGTAGCCGTCTGTATTCATCACGCTATGAGCGGGAGCTCGGAACGAGCGTCCGCTGCCAGACGATGGACGGACGAGGATATCGGTAACTCACCTGAGCACTCTAAGGGACCAGAATAGCGAGGGCCTTCCCCGAAACTCACGAGCTCTGACATATACCTGCATTCCAAGTACAGATGTGTGCTCCGCGAGGCTCGGTGTGACCTCGATTCAGACCAGGCGGCCTGGCCGTTTGCAGGTATTGACGGACTGTAGGGCGGCCCGTCCTCCATGTAAGTACCGCTTCCAGTCAACTCGTTACAATATGCTGACCATGTGCTCACAGACTGTCCGAGAGGTATATATACTGGCTGTGTACTGTCTGAGCTAGTAGCAGCCAACCGCTACTGCTTTCTTCCCTCTCGAAACTCAGTATCCAACATCCACGATGTTCTTTTCCACTCTCATAACCTCCGCTATCGTCTCTCTCGCCGCTGTCACCGGCGTGTACGCCGAGTCGCACACAATCACTTTCGTCAATAAGTGCGGCCGCGGAACGGTCAGCGTTCCCAACTACACTCTACTTCTCTCAGAGGCTCCGTGCGGGGGAGGACAACGTTTATGTACATCATGTGAACGATCTGTGGTGAAATCGGATGTATCTCGTTCGAACTATATATGACATGCGGGTTCGCGATGGGCGCTCTCAAATGAGATACTGTAGATGAGGTAATGGAAGTCGTCGTATCGAACAATTGAGAGCATCCAACGATGCAACAGACAGAACTGCATTATCGAGATCAGCATACGGAAACAAGTGAAAACGGTGCGTGCTTACAATAATTTCCCATCAGTTCTGTAGCGGGACGAGGTTCGCAAGGATGTTGAAAAGGTCGACGACGTCGAGCGTAGGTTGCGCATCGCTGTTCGGCACGAACGGCTCCGCCGAAGTCAGCACCTGAGCGGGTGTCGGTGCATAGGATACAGACTCAAGTCGGGGTGGCGATGTTGGAGTAGACTGATATCAGCGTCAGCGCACACTATTCGGGCAAAAGTGGGGAAAAACGCGCCGGTGAAGGAGATGGTATGGAGATGCTCGGCGGTCATTCGAAGATGGACGCGAACACGTAAGGCCGCTCGTCGAATGGCTCCTGGCCGTGAGCGCAGATGCGGATGGTGGCAAATAACATGGTCGATACAGTTGAGGAAAGAGGAGCGGCGAGCGCCGACCAGTCCATTACTGCGTACCTAAAGAATATCAGCTTCGATCTTCAGATGTATCCATCTCGCTCGTACCGCTCTCCCTCAGGTAGCGAGTCGTTATCGCGCAGATGTGATTCTCCTGCGTGAGTCTCCGTCGCCATGGTGGTATAAGGCAGGCGGTGCCAGCACCTGCTTTCCCATTCTGGAATTCATACGGAACAGTGCACAGCACATTCCCATGGGATTGATGCAACGCTAACGGCCACCTCGTTAATCCCTAGTACACATACGCTCTTGTACGCATTAGGGCAGACGCGACTAGTGAACTTCGCGAAGTTATTTGTGAGCAAGCAGAGGCCTGTCGAGTGCGTCCTGCTTGCAGTTCTTGAGGACGAAACCAGCGAAGTCGCGATGATTCTTGGTCTAGCGTGCAGTGGGAGTTCGGGACGAGTTCATACGTTCAACGTTCAAGGCGCGTTGCAGACATTTCCGCGCGTGCGCCCTTCCGTCTTGACTCTCATCTGCGGCCGCCCGCCGCCCACCTACAGGTTTGTGCGCACACAAGATAGGTGGAATCTCAGTGAGAAGGATAAGGTGCTGTGGGTAGTGCCATAGGGGCAAAGTGCGTGGTTTGTCATATTTTTTTAAAGCAGCGGACTGATAAGATTCACGACTTCCGGTACCACATCATACAGAACTACCGCCATCTTGGTATGACTCCTTTCATGTCGGATTGCTCTGGGACTGGATCTACAAGTCTGAGCACTTGGGCACTTCCAATCATTGCGACATCCTCGACGCCCTCAAGCTTTCCTTGGTCGGCGCCCTTCTTTGGTCCGTCATCCGCACGCTACTTTGCCGTGCCCTTTTGTCGTTTACACGAAGCAATCCCCAGCGCCATCTTCTTCATGCACCTCCTAGGCGCTCCTGCCTCCTGGGCGTAGAAACGCGTTCCCGCCCTCCTGATCAACGCTTACGATCATATACGCGGGCGTTCCGCGTGGTTGTTACGAAGACGAGGCCGGAGCTCCGGTCCGTTGGGAGAAGAGCCCGTACTGGCGCACGCTTCGGAGAGTGGCCCTAATCTTTACACCTATCTCTGTGCAACACGTGTCCGCGCGCTTAGTCGACGACGTGCTTTATCCGCGTTTGTGATGGCAGGCAGACGCGTGTATAGCTATCTCCACTGCGCCCTACATTCATCTCGGCCACCTGCATCGCTTATTCCTAGAATATCCATTCTTTCCCAAGCAAGTCGACAAGCACATTACGTCCGTCGCGTTTTTCTTGGACTCAAGGTGCCTCGGACTTCCTCGAACTTCTGTTCGCCGCGCCGCGTGTAAATAGGTCTTACCACTGCACTCTGGGTATCCATCGAACACATACCTTCTCGAAGCCCTTTTGATCTATTCATGCTTCTGGCTTCGCCGTGTACGGTACATTATTCTTTACACAATATCATAGATCTCAGAATGGCACAATGTCCGACGGATAAGCTGGTGTTGCGCCAACAAGCCATAAGGTAACAAGCCTCCGATTTCCGCAGATCCTAGGATTCAGTCTAGCATGCTAAGACTGAACGAAGATCAAACTTTAATCTCGACGAACGACGACGCCGCGCTGCAACGATTGGCGCCGTTCTCAAGCTCTCGCACTCAGTCTCTCAAGATCTTTCCACCACCATCGTCATCTCGCTCATCACCCTATACGCATCACAACTATTATCATCAAAGGTCACCAAAAGGAATCCCGCATCGAGACTACAATCTATTCGGTAGGTCTTGCATCCCGTGACTCGCGCTCACCGCCCACCTGTGACTGATCATATCGTTAAATCAACAGTACCAAGATCTTGTGAGAACGCTATGGAAGATAGCGCAACTCAAGATCGCCCGCGGACCGAGAGTCCAAACCAGTACAGTCGCTTTCCCCGTTTCCGTCTACCGTCTGATACTCACGCGCGGGTGCAGGCGGGACTTCCGACGATTCTACGTCGGTTACGGCGGTAGCGCTTTCGGTACGCCCAACGCAGCTGGAGCCGGTTTCGCCAACATTGCCAGTGCGTCGTGATTCCTACTAGATAAACAGGTGTTGAACCTCGTTTCAGGGCTCGAAGATATAATGCAGACAGCGATGCTGCTTAAGGAGCACGACGCGCGCGCTCCCGTGCAGCGCGCACCTACGCTCGACGAGGCCGATATGGCTCGACAACTCCGGAGAAGGCGTCGCCGGGCGGCGGCGGAGCGTGGCTGCTGCCACTACCCGCGCGCTCTGTTCAGAGTACTGTGTACACGAATCCCCATCCTAAACAGACTCTACGCCTGAACTGCACTCTCTTCTGTTGTCCTCGTTACATCTTGCAATCCCCACTCGCTCAGTACTGGACACGCTACTACATCTCATCGCGTCCTGTTCATCTACACCCTAACACCCAAAATCTAGGGTACTTCCAACGGTGAACTTCTATCACGTACACGTACACAGCACGTACTTCTAGGATCTAGATCTGAGTCGTGGCGCCACAATCTTCGATGCTTTTGATTGACAAATGGCGGCGTCTCGCATTGGCATCGAGTGGTTTTCGACCTGAGGCAATCTCAGAGCAGTATATTGCCTTCCGCAACTATTGTGTCACATATGCAGGCAGTAGACCAGAATGATGGGGCCTTTGAAGGTGTCCGATGCCAGACATCGAAACACGACCTCCCAGATTTTCCCAGCCGCGCGTCAATCAAGAAGAAGTCGCGTGACCGTGAATCAGGGGTAAGCTATTGTAAAAACACACTGCGCCATCGAGTTCCTAAGCTCATACTTCACCACAATACTCCATAACTTATATCACCAGAGCCTGTGGTACACATACGCTTCAACGTGCTTTAGAGCAATCCTCCGGGGCTGGTCCCTCGTATCGACAGGCGGCTGCACAACAGCACATTCAAATTCGAGATCCATACATATCGATCGGGAGGCGAGTAGTGGTTGGTGAGCAAATTCGTCGGCGTTACCGTGTACCAGTTCAAATAACAAGCGGTTGAGCTTCGACAGGGGCGGTATGGGAGCCTGACAGCGTGGATTGCGAGGAAAGTAGCCTGACGTCATGGGAACGCGACGGCCACGCACACACGGACGGTCCGTTGACTTCGTCTTCGACCGCTACGACGTCGGGGTGAACACTACTCCACCAGTCTATTCACATCTCTCATCTTGAGACTCGGGATCCTATCGGGACGTGCTCAGAGGATGGTCATAGCTGTTGCGTTGCCTGATCACGTACTTCTTCCTGCCTTCCGGCTCGCTCATCGCCGACTCCCCAGTTTTTTCTGCGAGAATACGTAGCACTGCTGCAACATCAGCCGCGACGGCACGCCACTCCTTTTGCTCGTCTTGTTTTCCTGCTGCGTGTGATCCCCAGTTCAGCAAAGTCACCACTAGAACCCGAATTCCACTTTCTCCAGGCGCAAAGTCGGGGGACCATGCCATCGATGCGAGCGCCGGTTGAGAGATGCGCTGTTCCGAATCAAGTCTGACAGCAGGCTGAAGCATGGCCCACTGACGGGGGAGTGTAATATGTACGTCGCTGTCTAGAGCCGCGCGCGTTCGTGCCGTGCCAGGAAGTGCTCTCTTATGCCATCGCGCCGCCCATGATCTGTCACTGAAGCTCGCCATGTACTCTGGAAGGTAAGCGTTTCTGCTGTCATTCAGGTGCATCATCAACTTGTTTTCTGTCTGATTGCGCTTTTAGGTCGTTGACGATAATAGTCACGTGGATAACGCACCGCTGTGCTTTGCTCGAGCGCCAAGTACGCTAGGCTCAGCTCACAACCAATCGCAACATCCACTCCGCCCTGCCTCATCTGCTTTGGCACCGCCTGAAAGAACTTAGAACTGTTAGTGTTCTCCCACCACACCTTCCTCGGCCCGATAGCTAACAATGCTTTGTTTAGTTCGGTCGGGTACGCCGACTATAACGACTGTCAGACCAGGCGCCCGATATTCATATGATTCGGGTACTAACCTCAATGCCATCGAGGTTGCGAACGGATGCGTGAGGATCGAAAGTCAGGACTGACACCCTATGCATGCTAGGAGCGACGCTTGTGGGGACCGGGGTAGGAGAGGATACGCTTGGCTCTATGTATGTCGGGAAGCCATCCTCAAATGCCATTTGTACAGGTTCCACGGGTGATGCGGGTGCATGACCGGGCTCGACGTCGGCACTGGACTTCCCCGCTTCCGCTTTTGCCGCTTCCGCTTTTGCCGCTTCCGCTTTTGCCGCCTCCGCCTCCGCTTTCGCCGCCAGTATCTCGGCCTCGGCTGCCAAGATCCTCGCCTGGGCGGCTTGGAGTTTGGCCGCCGCTTCTACAGTCTATGCGCACGTTTAGGCAGGCGCGGAGATGATTAGAGAAGACCGACCTTCTCTTCGACGTAGGATGCCTCCCCATCCTGCGAGCACTCTCAGCTAGTGCATGAAAGAATCTAACCGTTAACTCACCTGCGGTAGTAGGCAATCCATGACACCACCTGTCATCCTTTCTGGACGCATACGTGCGGCTTGAGCGGCTGGTTCAGCGAACGAAGTCATGCTTGCGCTCGTATCCAACTAATGGTTTCAGTAACGCTGTTAGGAGGACCGGTGCCCACACGTACCTGTTCCTTGGACCGAGAGCTTTCTGACCGACTGACTGAGGAATGGTTCTGACCTCTACTTTCATCCGTCTGACGTTCCACTTCACGAAGCTCGGAATCGAGCTGGATACCTTCGCTGGTAGGGCCCGTTGCGTCACCGGAGGCCATAGGTGAGTCGCTATACCCCCTCTGAGGACCCCATTTCAGCTCTGAATGGTGTCAACAACAGCACGGTATATCTGCCGCACAAGAACGTACCGTTGATCAACCGAGATTGGGTTAAGATACGCCCCCCAATCAACCTCAGCGTCGTCTCTTCCTCCGCAACTTGACTATACAATACTTTCGGTTGCCCAGGAATATCGCATACAGCCTCGGATCTCGATACGTGTCAGATACGGGTTGACTATGCACGGAACTGACTCACAAGCTAACTTCATCAGGCCCTACGAGGAACATAACGGCGTATCCGGATGCGCGATTCGCAAAGAATTGCATCATGGCGCGCAAAAACTCCTCGGACCCTTGCATAAACCTGTAGGTGAGAGTGAGTAACCGTAGACAACCAAGTTGGACGCGTGACTCACTCATGGGCCTCTTCAGGTGTTGAGGGAGCGGAGGCTGCGTTGTCCTCCCACCTCTTCATCTCGATCTGAAGGAGCTTCGTGGCCTCCTGGCGCGTATGCTCCTTCTCCTCAATGGTCGACGAGTTAAACCATTCGGCAGCGACCGAGTTCCAGACAGCCCCTCTCGAAGTCGCGTCGCCGCCTTTTTCCTTGGCCTCCGCAGCATATCTGCGACTCACTTCCGCCTCTAAGTCAGGCCGCTCCTTCATCTTCGCCCAAACTACATATAGCTGACGCTGGGTTGGCTTTGCCATTATAGATTTGACTAGCTTCGGAATATCCACGGCCGGCTTCACTCCACCGGCCGCCTCGACGCGTGCCGCTCGCTGGTAGAGCTTTGTGATCTCCTGTACGCCGTGAGTGAGCCATATTGTATGGAGCGAAGAGAAAGACATAGACTAACACCTCGGACAAGCGTCACCACCTCATCCTTCCTACGATGCACCGCCAACGCCTGCTCGTTCATTCCCACTCCGCCGCCCGCCAGGATGTTGGCCACTTCCTGAACTTCCGCCGCCGTGGCCGCTCGTGCTGCGTCAGTCGCGTCGGGAACATCCTGCTTCAACGTGCGGAAGGGATTCTCCCAGCCGTACTTCGCGATCATGTCGATTGTCTTGTCGTTGTACAGCCCGCTGATGTTGACGCGCTGTCCGTTCTTCTGCTTGATTTTCAACGCTGCATAGTCGGGATAGCCGCCCATAATATAGTCATATTGCTCATCGCCAACGTTACGCGGACGTCCCATCCTCCCATTTGCCTTCTTCTTGGTAGGCTCATCGTCGGTAGGACTGGGGTTCGGTCGCTTCTTGGTGAGCTTGCTCTGCATTTCGAATTAACCACAAGAACGCGAGTTGTCGACGAAAAGACGGCAAGTATGAATGCGGCCCGGGTGGGAGAAAGGTGTGGGAACTAAAGCTCCGTCTCGTTGACTATACTCATAACGAGGACCCCGATAGGTTGATGCAGTGCTCCGTGTCTCGTTCTGCGGGTGTGAAGCGCTCATTGTTCGCAAGTTTGGCGCTCAGGAGGCCAGGTACGCCCTTCCTCGTCCCCATATGGACTACTATAGGACGAGGTTTTGGGACACGGCGTATTCTCTCTGGAATCAGACTTCCTTCTGGAAGTCTTCACATGGCGTGCGTACTCTAATTCTACGTAGGCAGCTACCGATTGCCGTACAGGCTTTGTCAGCTGTAGTGCTTCTGGGAAACACGCGGAGCTGTACGTGTCGAATCCGGCGCATACTCCTCCGTGTACAGCTTTGATCGCCTTGAGGCGCCATCTCAGGACGAGCGCTTGGGTCACAAGATAACGCTCCCTTGTCTGCGCGCTGTCGATTGTATCTCAGAAGTGCTCGCAAGGACTACTATGTCGTCGCATATGAGGCAGCGCGTTCTTCCAGAAGTACCCGTTACAGTTACGGTACGGAGGGCGCGTCTATATGCGCAGCAACGTGCCCGCCGCACCCATCCGAACCAACATCTTGCAGCTTCGGCTAACAGGCCTTCTATTGCTGCGATCTCTGCCATACCATGCCATCGACATACCCCGGAATCACTTTCTTGCCTTGCGCATCTGTTCCGAGGGAAATGAAAGAACTTCTTCGGCTTTACCTGATGCGGGTTTGAGACGCCGCTCTCAGGTTCGCTAGATGCCGAAATCTCGTGGCCCTGGCAAGTCCCAGTACTCGCTTGCTTGCCCCGCTAATCTCTTCCTGAAGCCAGTGAAGCCCTGTTTCATATATTCTGCTTGCTTGCGTGTATGTTTGCTGGGTTGACACAAAGTTAGCAAGGCAGGTGATGGCCGGAGGCCTTGCCAATCTATAAGGCCAGTGTCGCCAAAGACGTACATCGTAGATCTTTTCGCATGGAAACAGCTCTTTCGGCATCCGACATACGCGCCAACGCCTTACGAGATTTTCGTGTCGAGGTCGAGGCGCTCGCCGGTCCTGTAGACCACGAACGAGTTCACTATCGCCGAGCTCGCTGCGAACGTGCGGGGCACTTCCTCGGGCGCCCTGAGATCCAGTATCGCAAGCATACTCGAGACACGGGGAGGTGGTTCATCGTCGTATGTCTCTCTAATGCATCTGGTGCTGACGTACTTGCTCATTTATCTGTAATAGTGTCGCCAGCAGCACCCGGGAGACGTACAAGGCTCTGGCACACTATTCGAATATGTCTCTGGCCCATTGAGTGCCGATGACCTGCTTTATCTTCGTAACATCAAAGCCGCAACGGATGCATCGGTTGCTGACGCCATCTCAGCCCGCAGATATGCGAAAGGCGTACGAAAACAGTCTTCAGGCACTGCTGTGGTGCGGTCCATCTATGAGTTAACAACTCCCATGGCTCCTCGTCAGCCCCCAAAGATGTCAAAGCGAGCACGCTCGCCGAGCCTGGAGATAGTTGAGCCGGCGTCCATCATCTACCTTTTCCATCAGGTGTGTTGCTCTGTTCCCATTCCCATCGAGTGACCCTACTGAGCGGCGTTCAGAAGCGCGCACCTCCAGTCACACTCCAGCTTCCACTTGACCGTCAAGCGCTGACCATTCGATTGTCCGACTATGACTCTCAACTTGAGAATTACGGCGTCAAGTTGGCCGATTCCGTTCACATCCTCGTGGTCTCTGACGAAGACGGCGCATCCCCGTTTTGGCTCTACATGCGCGTGTGCGAGCTATCCGTGCCCATGGCATGCATGCCGCTGGTTGTGTCTAGTCAGGCGGCGCTTCCGTCTCCTTCGCGCGTGCGACGCCTGTACCAGCATGCATGCGATGTCCGCAGTACGATTTTCATTGCGTACAATCACTCTCGGGCGTTGACGCATTTCTCTCACCAGATATCACCGCCTGATTTGACGTCGTCGCATCCATCACTGTAGTGTCTACCCGTTTCAACGCTATCCTACTCCAGTACATGTAGCAACCGCCCCGAACCTGCTCAATTCTGTATGCAACGAAAGGCTACCATCAGTCTGAACCGCGATAGTTAGCTCGTGCAGTGTATGGCGTTGTAGATGTACATACTGCGAGGAATCCAGCAACGAGTCTTACCGTCGCCGTGCTCACGGCGCCAAAATTCGCGGGCCTTCGCGTCGCCGAACTTCTTCTCACAATACGTATCTGTGTTGGGAGGCAATTTGTGGGCGCCCTTTCCTTCATGCTTTGCGCAGGTCCTGACGGGAATACGACGTCAGATTGAAAGCATCGACGCGCGGTATCGACTCACCAGCAATAATATATACCGGGTTGCACGCCCCTCGTAACAACGTACAGCTTACCACGTTCACGAGGATGATCGTCAGGCTGAAGGCAAGTATAGTAAGCCGGCTCCATGCTCAATGTAGCGCTCTCTAAAGAGAGCTGAGTGTAACATTCGCGGGACCGATCGGAGACCATACCGTCGCTCTGAGCGCACCAAGAGGATTGGGCCTCGCCAGGCTGACTCTCTGGCTTGCGGAAGTCGAGCTGGACACTCTGGAGAGCGCCTGAATCGAGGAGACCTTTACTGAACTTGATGGCGTATTCGTTATCGCTCATGGTGGTTCGAGAGGAGAAGGGACCGTGGCATCCCGGACAATTTATCATTTGTGGGCCCGGAGATATTCGCTCGTTCTATGCCTTTCGAAAGGTCCAGAAGGGCCGCATTAGAAGTCACACGTGCTATAGGGCGCGCCGAGGGGACAAGGATGCAGCAGCCGTGGGCGACTCTTCCTTGTAGTCGTTCACGAGACAACTTGACACAACTATATGAGACCCCGGGCACCAGCCACAACTCACGGCGGTAGGCCAAATGCAGGAAGGAACGGAGGTAGAATGTTACATTCTCGTTACCAGATCCGCTGCGCGTGGTACCACAGCCGATCAAGATATACTCCCTTTTTGTCATCTGTGTGCAAACGTCATCAGCCTTTATTAGTATCGCAAGCGTCTGATACAAAGAACACACAGTAGCCTCAGCGACAAACGGTCTTACCATCCAAGCAATAAGCAGCCCAGATCGTAAGGTACTCAGCCATACATGACGCTTAGGAATTTTGGCGAGCAGACAACGGACTTCACTCTCGCTAGTGAATCAGTACCGAGCGTTTGAAGACGAGGCCCGCGAATCGATCGCCATCGAATCTATTCGACAGAGAGGGCGGGTTCCATGCTACTAATCATCGTCAGTGAGTGAGTCACGTCCGTGTAAATCGCGCGCATAGTCTGAGCTCAAGCCCGGGCGCGTCTGCCTCGCGACCAGCAGATTTTCGAGGTCATATCATTCGTTACATGTGATGCCAATGCTTCCTACATTCTACTTGGGGTCGTAGCAGAACGCCGACATATACGATTTAGCGATATACGCCCACGCTCGCACCTGCGGGGGAGCAATGGCTTGATGGTACCAAAAAGACTTTGGTGCTCACTTCGTGCTACGTGTAGAAGATGGGTCCGCCGTAGCAGTCATTCGGAGCGTTTGGCTTGCGCCCGACGCGCCAACGACGCGTATCCTTGCACGGTCGAATGGCAGGAGCGCCCAAGTCACGTCGGCAGCGTCGCAGCGGTGCCGAGCCTCGCCGAGCGTGCGAAGATGAGGCGCGCCGCGGGCAAAACACCTTCTGGCCACCCACACAGAACGCAGGCCAACACCCATCAGGGCGAGCCAACCCTCCTTCCCTTATTTCCTACGTTTCCTACGTCTAGCCTCCTTCCCTTCTCTCGCTATGGCTATTGTATATTGCACACATACACACCCGCCATTGAATACCAAGATTCGCATCGGGATTTACTAGGTCCAGCAGAACCGTGTGGTGCGTATAGCGGTTAGCCTCCCTTTGACCATACGCTACCCTGAACATCGATGCGACATGCCAGGTTGTTTGCGCTCACGGCACGCGAATCGATCAACCACATCACCCTTTGCCGTCAGGGTACACTGTCATTTGCGAATTATACTCCGCCTCCAGCGCCCACCTTTCCTGCACCTGCTTGTCTAGTTGGCGACGTAAACCGCCATCGTGCCCTTCAACGACTTTTTTGCGGAGCTAATTCCGAGTGCATCATCGAAGAAGGCGCAAACCACCCTCATTCCATGTCTGTATCCTACCTTCATGGAACCTTACCACGCATCCTAACCGTCAGCTAGTAGATCGAAGTCGTGTCATTTGTCTAGAAATTTGGGTTTCAAGCCTGTGCAGAAGTGCCCTCGTTCAACCTGGGCACGCACATAGAGGGGAACTCGTCTCCGCTGCTGACAAGTAGGAGGACTAGCCTAGGAGATACTTGATCTGCGCGCAGATTCACGACCGCAGAGATGATGGTCACTTAGTCGAGGTACGTGCCGTATCTGCAATGCGTGTCGTTGCGTCACATCGCGAACTTCGCTAACTCACCCATAGATCGTTGTGACTGCTGTGGTAGCGCTCATAGTCACTTTGCCTGTTTTTGGGTATCACTAGCCGGCTGTTCTGTACATCGTTATACAGTGATTTAAATCTGTTGCATTCACTTGTCTGCCTCACTAGCCCTAGCACGGGCACCAACCGTACCGAGCTTGGTTCATCGTCGCTACTGGCTCGAGCGGCATCTAGCCATGTCTCCTAATACGCGAGAAGTCGGACTGGAGCTAAGCCAGAGACCCCCAAGCTCGCCGGCGCTAGTGTCGCCTCGCGGGCATCAGCATCGTTTGTCGACACAATGCGCTAAACGTGCGAGTGAATGCCGATCTGTGCCGCTCGTAGTGTCATCTATCATGCGGTGGAACATGGTGATGCAACTTACCGTTGTATCGTCAGATCATTAGCAGACACTCGAGCGGCATGCCCTTGATCGCAACCTGTGCACAAAGCGCTCACTCGGAGCTATCCGGCCTTCGTTCAAGCATATAATGCCACTACGAAGGATCACGACCAACCTACGAACACCCCGCCAATGCGTCACACGCTCAACGTCGGAGACCAGTGGGAAATCGTCCATCAAGTTGTCTTTGAGCTCCAGATGCGGTTTCCTCCAACCGTACGGTGGACGCCTACCCTCTTCAACGAGACAGAGCGTCGTAGGGTCGAACGGCGCCTGGTCACGCTCATACATGGCAGACTGTATGTTCTCTGTTCAGAACTTCTCATCTACTTCCGCGCTGATGTGCTGTAGCGGCGAGATGAATAGGGCAGCGCCGAATGAACATGACAATCCCCCGCAGCCCCCTCCGTGGTCACGCCAGGAACTCATACGTCGCAATCTGCCGACACGGTCCTACTACAGTGATATTCGCGAGCTCGACGAAGTTATGGAGACCTTCTTTACCAATCGACCGTGCGGTAGCGGCGAGTATAGAGCGGAGGCAAATGGCACCGGCAACATCTGGGTATTCAGTCGCAGCGCTGTGCTCCTTTGTATGCTTCAGCACCCAGCCGTTGGGTGGGCGCACTTCTTGAACATAATGTACAACGCTCCACCTGGCCATGCTGCTTGGGCTCCCGATCCTCACAAGACGATCGAGGTGGACTTATTTGGCGACCATGGCGCGTGGGTGGTGAGCGGAGGGGCGAGTAGTAGGGCTAGAAGGCATTAATAACGGGGCCGAATCAACATTTTTTTTGCCCTAGCACAATATTTTATGACGTTTTATCTCATTATATCGAGTGCTTTCGAAGACGGCTCACGAACCCCGACGACTCACGCGAAGACGCAAAGGTGCGTGATGGACGTGCGCTGACGGAGCGAAAGATGTTCTATACATATCTCAGCATCTCCTGCGAGTGGAAGCGCGACCAATAGAGTAGATGATCGTGGTAGCCGGCAATTGGGTATCCTCGATTGCCTGAATGCTACGGGAAACGTCTGCTTGAGATTGACTTTGACAGATCTTTCGTCGTCCACTAAATCGACGACAGACCCGTTGCAACAACATTCGCCAGATAGCCCGATCTAACGTAACATTGCACGACAGGCGCATACCGTTGGCACTGGAGAGATAGTGTGAACGATCATGCCGCTTTGAATCGAAAGTTGGCGGACGTGTAGATCAGCCAACGCACTATCGCACAGATCATGGACATCAAGAAGTCTGTCCGTTGTATTGACAAAAATAGCCATACGACGTCCAACTACACGCTGCGCATGACTACTACACCTCACAGTCCGAGAACGATTCTCAGGCAAAGAATCGGCTTACTAACGGTCCCCGCCGGAAATGCACTGCATCACTCCGCTGTCCGGATGCTCGGGGTATTGACCAGAATGTGCGACCGAACGCAGAGAAAGACAAATACCTGAATTCTATACAGTAAGCAAAAGAGCGTGAAGCGCAGACATATAGACGTACTTCAGGCACATGTGTTAAGTGGGCAGGAAGCTCAGGCCGTGACGGTCCAGAGAGCAGCGCAACGCTTGCCGGCAGGGGGTGGACGTCGAGGCGGCGCATCTTGCAAGAGTCTCATTCGCCACCGTCGGCGTGTATGCTCGCTCGCTGTCGCTCTCGATTGAACAGTCGCAGAGACAGCCATCCTCTCCGTCGACACGACCAGGGCGCCCTTGTGC